CATCTGTAGCCTTCATCTTTAGCTTTGATATCAAGGCCAGTTCTGCATTTTCACTGTACACTGCTGCATTTAGATAGCGTGAGCTGTAATGTTTTCTCTCTATCCTGTTTTGTGTCTTTGTCCTCTGTCTTTCTCTCTCTCTTTCGCCGTGTGCACACATCTGTCTGTGTGAAGGTAAATACAAAATCAGACTACCCTTCACTGACTTGATTTAATTTCATACTGTGTATTCAGTTTATTATCAGATAAACAATGTACCCATTTAAAATGTACATCAGATCTCTTAATGTGCAATGTAATATCATAGACGTAAATATTTTTTGTCTGTGAATGATACACGTAGTAGCCCTTGAAACATGCTCTGTATATTATGATTATGTTGATATAAAACAGACACATTCACACTCACAAATGGCTATCGACTATGTAGCAATGATCAATAAAAGGCCAACCACTCATCAGGAGTAACTTGGTTTCCAGTGGCTGCAAGGTTGACTTTGAACCAATCTTATGTATAACAATATTTACCTTTCTTTGACGTCTGTGTCATTTAGTGGTTGATTACCAAAACACCATTATACCTTCAGGGCACACTCTTTCTTTCACATGGGATGGCTGCTGAAAATGCTAATATTACAATATTACTATTTCAGCTATGTTTTTATTAAATAAATGTAGTCTTGGTGAATATAAGAGACTTTTTTCAAAAACATTAACCACAAAAACAATGACCACACACTTTTTAACATTAGTGTATACACACTCTCTTGAATTAACAGTGATTGTGACAATTCAGTTCATTATATATTAATGGTATGTGCATAACTTTTGCATTAAATTATTGTAGCAATATCTTCTAGTGCCACCATGTGAGTTCATCGCATAGTCAGACATCCTCATTAAAGTTGTGTTATGTATATTCAATTAAAGAATATTTCTTTCTCACTTTATTTCATCTGGGTTGTATTTTGTACAGCACAAACTACAGATTTTACAAATAATCAACCCCATGGCCTGTGCAACTTAATTTCTGTTTAATTTGATTCATTTTTCCATTTATTTTTTTTTTTTATGGGACGGTTGACCATTTCCAGATACTTTCATAGCATTGTTTTTGTATTAACCAATTGCACTTGCCAAAGGGAATGAAATTTAAAAATCAAATTATGGTGGAGTTGTGCCAGGGATGATAATGAAAACCAGGCTTACTCAAATCATAATGCAGATATGGGAGACGTGCTGTAAAAATAATGATTTGGTTTTTTAGTATTATTATTATACATACAAAAACATTTTTTCACAGCTTTAAAGCCACTTAGAACATCTTTGATGAGCAGAAATGACGCTTTTTACCTCAAGCTCAAAGTTGATTGAACGTGTTTAAAGTTTCTAGAAGAAATCCAGACCTGTTCCCTTCCGCCACTGCTAGCGCTGAGAATAATGAGTGAGCTTTGTTGTAAATTAACAGCACAGTCAGAAGAATACATCTCCTATAGGGTTAGCCAGGTCCTGCTATTTTCTGTAGAAGTAGCCAGACTGTTTTTGAAGCTCAAAACAGTGATTACCTAAGGTGACTGCAGTCATATTCTAAGCCCCTCTTTGGTGGCAATGAGATTTTAGGACACCTCTGTGGTAGAGATGGTATTATTACTCCAATTATGAGCCTTAGTGCATGCCAGGAAGCTGGGCCTGCTCGCTTCAATTCTCTATGAGCATGACATGGACTTGTTAAAATCATTTTCTCAAGCTTGATAATCTGTGCATGTAATTCCACAAGAGCTGTTTGGATAAATTTGTCTTAAAATTGAAGTTGACGTGTGAACCCCATTCAGAGGCTACCTGGCTTTGCCAATGTGCAGCAGGAAGCATCTTGAGATTTAACTAGAGATGCCACTGACAGCTGTAATTTACAGCTCTTCGTGGTCTCAGCAAGATTTCTGTCAGCACTGTTTGGATAAATTTGTCTTAAAATTGAAGTTGACGTGTGAACCCCATTCAGAGGCTACCTGGCTTTGCCAATGTGCAGCAGGAAGCATCTTGAAATTTAACTAGAGATGCCACTGACAGCTGTAATTTTGACACAGTGACACAGTACTGACAGATTTCTGTCAGCACTGTGACAAGGATTCTTTGAACCTACTTGCTATATGAGGCAACTGAACTGATTTTTATGCATATTTTCCATATATATTTTGGTAACCGAACAGTTGCTGGTCCCCATTGACTTCCATATACATATATACATATATATATATATTCATACTTTGGAGACCAGCAACTGTTTGGTTACCCACAAAATATCTTCTTTTATGTTCAACAGAAGAAAGAAAGTCATACAGGTTTTGGAACAACCTGACTTGAGGGTGAGTAAATTGTGACAGAACTAACCCTTAAATATGCACAGAACTGTTTTATTGCACAAAAGGTTATTTATAATGGAAAAGTTTATTAAAATGTTCATCACACTAAGAAAAAAATCCTTTCTGTTTACTGAAAAGGTTTGGCGAGTCCAAAATGGTTGCCTTAATTTTTAAGAGTTTAATGATGATTTGGTAATGTTATTGTATAAAATAAAATCCCTTTTCTACTTAACTTTGAATTATCATAGTCCATAGTTCACATATTTTAATCCTCTCCAATGTGACTATCACAGACAGATTAACAACATATTTCAAGGACAATGTGACCTGCATGTATAAAACACACAAAAATATTTGTTCTTTGTTTGTTCAGAAAAAATACTTAAAAATGTAAAAACAAATTTCATCAATGCATTACTTTCTGTTATAAAATTATGAAAACATGTTATTGTGTCGCATCAGTTATTTATATAATTTCTGTAATTGAGTGTTCATGTCCTTCCTCGGCTAGCACTATTTTAGAAGTGTGTTGACTTTGAGAATTTCTCCTGACCCTGGTATGCAGCGCGTGCGTCCACAGAGAAACGCTGACGCAGATCAGGACTCGGGCATTCAATTGATGGAGTGTGATAAGGCCTTTTGGGGCATACTAATAAGTCATCTTGAGGTGGAAATTCAAAACATGAGCTGCAACCTCTCAAATGCTACCAAAGATAAACACGATTCAACGATAACAGTGTTGGCTGATATTTTGTATGAATTAGTCAAATATTGTTGTGATAATGTACTTGAGAAAGATATCTGCTGAGTAATATTAGTATCTACATGCAGAATTGCATTTAGTTTAAGGATATTGTGTATTTTTTCTCTCTTTTACAACAAAAAAGATTTTTCACTATTTTCCCATTTTAAATTGTTTTATTTTATTGCACTAAAATTAGCTTTGTTTATCATAAATGGTCCCTTAATAAAAAGAAAAGATTACAAGGCAGTCAACATGCAAGAAAGCACACTGAAAACATTTGATGTCATCCAGACTATTTCAGAGGAACTTACTGTTTTGCAATAGAGCACAAGGACCCCTAGTGGAAGTCGTGGGTAAGTTAGGGCAGGGAGAACCATTGAGAAGACGTATAAGTGCTTGATATCGTGACGCGCTCCATTCAGTGTGTGGGCTGAGTGAGAGCAAAGCAGCTTCTCCACCTCTAGGACTCTCCTTTACACCTACTCTGCCAGCAGCTGGACAACCTGATGAAATGGATAATAATTGTAAGTACTTGCACATTAAAAATTATATTTACAATGTAAAAAATATATATTTGCAATATTCCAAAAAAAATGAATTAGTTATATTTTATAATAACTGGATAATTGAATCTTTAATGCATCTATTTGATTTATAATTCATAAAAAACATGATAAATGAAATATAGGGCTAAATGTGATGGATTACCAAAAAAAAAAAAAATCCATGCTTATGTTTATATAGTTCACAGTAAAGGTTAAAAACAGCTGAGGGATCACCACCAAGCAGCAAAGGACTTTCCCTGTTCCTGGAGATCCTTGTCGTGCCACCTGTTAAGTTAAAGGGTTATCTATGTACTGGCTGATTATGCCCGAGGAAAGCTAATCAGTTCTCTGACATTTGTGGAGAAGTAGTCGTGCGCTTTTTGGCACCATGGAGGACATCTTCAAGGATCAAGACTTATGGTCCTTCAATGAGTCGTCTAGAAACTCCAGCGTCCACAATGAAACTTACGGCGTGAACCAGACGGTGAACCCGCTGAAGCGGAACGAAGAGGTGGCAAAAGTGGAAGTCACTGTATTGGCCTTGGTGCTCTTCTTGGCACTCGCTGGTAACCTCTGCGTCCTTGTTGCAATCCACACGGCCAAGCACAGTCAATCTCGCATGTACTACTTCATGAAGCACCTCAGCATTGCAGATCTGGTCGTGGCTGTCTTCCAGGTACTTCCTCAACTCATCTGGGACATCACGTTTCGCTTTTATGGACCAGACATCCTGTGCAGGTTGGTGAAATATCTTCAGACCGTTGGGATGTTCGCCTCCACGTACATGCTGGTGCTGATGTCCATAGACAGATGTATGGCAATCTGCCAGCCCCTTCGTTCTTTACACAAGCGAAAGGACCGCTGTTACGTGATTTGTTCTTGGGCACTAAGCTTACTTTTCAGCATCCCACAGGTTTATATATTTTCCTTGCGGGAGGTGGGTTCAGGAGTATATGATTGCTGGGGAGATTTCGTGCAGCCGTGGGGAGCGAAAGCCTACATCACGTGGATTAGTCTGACAATATACATCATACCAGTGGCCATTCTGAGCGTCTGCTACGGACTGATAAGTTTTAAAATATGGCAAAACTTTAAAAGGAAGACTAAGAAGGACCAGTGTATCACTCTCACACCCAAGACATCGAAAGGCAGCGCGCTCGCGCGGGTCAGCAGTGTCAAACTCATTTCCAAGGCCAAAATCACCACCGTTAAAATGACCTTTGTTATCGTACTGGCTTATATAGTGTGCTGGACTCCGTTTTTCTCCGTACAGATGTGGTCAGCATGGGATCCCGAAGCACCAAGGGAAGGTGAGTTTCTTTTAAAAGTTTGATTAACATTTTACGCACGTGCCATTCGAAATGGGTATTGAGCACAGGGGTGATTGTTAACTTTAGTGTAGTTTGTGGCATCCATGAGGCAAAGATTAATAATTAGTTGGGGATTTTTGACTCCATTTATATTTTGGTGGCAGTTACAAAAAGGTTTTCAAGTTTTTGTATGATTGCAGAAAAAAAAAAGTTTTTATTGAACATTGATGGAGCAACAGATTTTGTGTGAAAATAAATCATAAATGGGTTGTTTTGTTTAAAAATCTTATATGAGGTGACCAGGTGGGCCTTTTACACCAAACACGGGGTAAAACACAAAGTATTTATACAAATTTATACAAATAAGTTAATACTTGTCCAAAACAATCACTTTGGCAAAGTTTGTACTATTTTCTGATTATTTTGATCAATAAAATCATTTATTTTAGTTTAATATAGCGTTACAGTAGTAACAATAAATGTCATTTTATTATATGATTTGATTAAAATCATATGATATTATAATATCATATGTATATGACATATGATGGTTTCATTATAAATATGGTGGTTATCTCTAAGGTGGACACCCAGCTTAATTTATAATATTTACCATCTGAATCTAAACATGTTATGTCAACAAATGGAAAAGCCAGCCAAGCCAGTGTTTTAAATGTAAAAACATTTTTAAAAGGCATACCTTTTAAGGCTTATCTAAATTATTAAACAGCAAGTGCTGTTTTATAATCTGAAGATTGGTGATATTGTTTTAAAATATGCAACTTTTTAATGGAAAGAGTGTTAATATATATTTTTTTTAATTTACATTTTCATTAAATCATGAACACGATGTTTACATATACTAGGCCTAAATCATGGGAAATTAAAATAAAATAAAAAAGGACATGAATATTGCTAAATATCAGTCAATAAACAAAAACCAGATCAAATAAAGAACTTTCAAAAATATTTTTTATAGCCTTATTATTCTGAAACTTATATTAAAGCACCCCTCTAATTAAACAAAATGTAGATATCAGTAGGCTCAGTTATGACATCAGTTTGTAAGCCAACCCAGAAGACTGTGGTGAGTTCACTCAGAAGTTCCCTCGAGGATGGTGGTTTTCGATTAATGATTAAGATATGTAACTTTACTTAAAGAGGCTTCCTATTTTGTTCCAAGACAAATTAAATCAGTCATACCTCAAACATGAAATCTGAAGGCTGTGTATTTTAAAAATGTAAGGTTCTACTGTCACCTCAGCAGGATGGTGTTCATGTATGATAGTGTTTTCAGTCCTGTATACCGATGTCACAATGCTTCCCTTCTTCCCGTTTTTTTTCTAGAATGATAAATGTATTTTCAGCTAACATATTTGAACATGGAATGCTTTTTGCATGTCCAAAAAGTATAGGCTACAGTTGAAAATACAATTATCAGATAAGATTTGAACAAATTCAAGAAGGTAGCCTAATGAGTTTCAGAATCATGTGAGATGGTTTCTGACCATGACATTGCATTCTTTCAAAGACTCGAGAAAAGAAGCTGGTTTTGATATATTGTAATTCTTCTGATAAGAAGGTTTTGCCAGTACAGAACTAGGATTGCTGTGATGGGCATCTTACTTTTAAATCACTACAGATGTAGTCTGCTAAAAAACGGCGGAGCCATAAAGACCAGCCTCAGGGAAACATTAATATTCAGCAGAGCTGCAACACTTAAATCATGACCGTCTGTGGTATGAGAAATCACCAACCCAAACAAACCCAGGGAGAATTGATGATAAATAACTGTTGTTTTGAATATGTAAAAGAATGCTATAAGACATTAATATTACATATGATGAAATCGTGTGCTCGACAAATTGTTATACAAATATTCATTTTGTTTTTACATGCACACAAAAGTCCAGGTTTTCAGTAGACAAGAAACATTCAGAAACCCTGAAACTTATCAGCTTACCAAAACGTTAAGGGTACTGCATGGCTACTCTTGTGTGTTTGAAAGAAAATGTCAGTGAACAATGTTCTTGCCATGAGTTTTACCATGTTTGTCTTGCGGCAATAAAAAGAGTAAGGTAAGGTCACATGTTGCACACTTCAGAGACAAAGATGAAATATTATCAGACCCAGAGACACTCACTCGTATCATGACCTCCACCATACAAAATATCCACACATTATGGCAAGTTCAGCAAAACATTCACACAGTCTAAATATTAGGACAACACTGAACACATTTATGCATCAGCAGTGGCTGACACAGTCATAGTGGAATGCAGTTACTAGACATTTCTCCGAATGTGTGAAATAAGAGCCGTTTCTTTTGGCTGATGCTAAGGGATGAGTTTGAAAACACTGATGATCTGATGTGCTCAAATCTCAGCTGCAGCTCTGATAGGATTAAATGACAGCTGAAAACGGTGTCTTCTAGTTGAATTTATGTGTGGTTGCTTTATATTGAGACTAATGTTGGGTTTGGCAATGTCATTGCAGGTTTGGCCGTTAGTTTGGTCTCATCTCCATGACACTTACTGGAATTACAATAGAAAAACAGCTTTCCACTAAGCATTTCTCATTTTTTTGAACAGTAAAAATCTTTGCAGAAATGTCCAAATCAGATAAACATTTGGACAATTGACACTCACTGAACTGTAGTGCTCCTAAAATAAAGAGTTGCGTTGCAAGGACATTTTATCTTTAATTTTGTAAATATACTGTACACTATCTTTCTAAAGTTTGTGGTCAGTATGATTTTTTTTAAAGACATTAATACTTTTTATTAATACTTTTATCAAAATTAACAAGACTTTTAGAGTCACAAAAAAAAATCTAATAAATGCTGTTAAAATTTCATTCCATCAAAGAATCCTAAAAAAAATTATTACAGTTTCCACAAAAATATATTATTAACATGCACAATTGTTTGCTATATATACTAATAATAAGAAGTAATGTTTCTTGAGCACCAAATCAGCATATTAGAATGATTTCTGAAAAAGCATGTGACACTGAAGACTGGAGTAATGACTGCTGAAAATTCAGCTTTGCCATCACAGGAATAAATTATATTTTATAATTTATTAAAATAAAAAAGTTATATTAAATTGTAAAAATATTTCACAAGATTACTATTTTTACTGTATTTTTGTTCAACTAAATACACCGTTGGTAAGCATAAGAAACGTATTTTAAAAACATACAGACTTTTGAACCGTAGTGTATTTTAATACTGTAATAATTTTTAGCCTGATGGAAAAAAATGTGCTAAAATAGATCATCTTCTAGCTTTGCATCCATCTAAAAATATTCTGTGAATCGTACTTGAAGTGTGCTGAATATCTAAAGCACTTGTTTTTTTTTATCTTCTGCAGCCTGGAAACTCTTTTTCAGAGCTTCATATTAAAGAATCTTCTCTTTCATTCTCTCTCTGTTCATCGATCCAACTGCCGATGGTACAGAGATGTGCTTGCCCAGTTTTCTCTGATGCCTATGAGCTCAGCACAAATAGGAGGTAGCAAACAGAAAAGCAATACACTTGACCGAAGCCCCATCTGGGTTTGTTGCTTACTCCTTCATTTCTAAATTCAATTTCCTTTTCTCTGAGAGACTACAGAATCAAACGCAGAAACGTTATGTCTGGAGGTTTGATGCACATGACCACACAAATGCACAGAAACGTACACTGAACAAGTTCCCGTCAACCTGTTTGGATCTTGAACTTTTTTTGATCACTGTATATTATTTAGTTGCCAAGTTTGCTTTTAGGTTACTAGGTTGGTCTTGTTTAAATCTGTGATGGTTGTTTGTTGAATGTTGGGAATTAGTTCTAGCCCTCTGTTGGCACACAAATGCACAGGAATGTGTGGTTTCATAGTTTATAAACTATGTTTTAAGATGTTCTCACCTTCTTGTTTGCTCCGAAAAAAAAAAAACCCAGCATAGTCGATCTCCAAGATATTTCTTCCTTTGGATGTTTTTTCCACCATTTGTTTAGGGTACGTAGCCCAACAAGCATGAGTTGGTTGTTTCTCTATTCCTGACACAGTCCCGTCTTTTTAAAATTCACCACAGTGTACTTTCAGAAAGAGTTTGGGGAAAGGGCTCAGATGGGTTCATGGTTCATGTATCAGATTCTTCTTTTTTACCCTCATGCATCATCCTTTTGTCAGAGTGAGATATATATAGACCATATAGACCCATATAGACATGTCACGTTTAATCGCAGTACACGTCATCTCACCACCAGAATACTAATGAGTCTTTTGATTACCATCACCTGATTCTCATTTCTTCTTTGGACATTAACAATAGTATTTAAGTACCCAAGTTGCAATGCATTGCAAAGTCTTGTCAGTATTCTAATGGTGATTCATGTCATGTTAGTGCTCAGATTTTTGTACTGGTTTTCTGTGCATTTTGAGGTGCGGGTTTTAGATATTTTTTCTCAAGTGTAAATCCCAGGACATGGATTGTCAGTTTGTGTCTTAGTTTGGTTCATTAGAAGGGATAATTGAGACATTTTTAGTAAAAGGATTAAAAACTATTTATTTAAACAGTTTTTAAAGTTCTGACTGGAAGAGCTGCTTTCAAATCAGATGTTGATACACCTACACCTGTAACTGCGGTTTATTTTTATGGACCGCACACTTTAGTTGAATTTTTAAAAAATTATTAATAATAACAAAATACTATTCATTGATCGTTGATGTCATTACAGTAGGCTACACCACCGCTTGAAAGTTTGGGGTGTCTCATGCTCACCAAGGCTGCATTAATTTGATGAAAAATACAGTATAGAACAGTAATATTGTATCAAAGTGTAAATTATTCCTGTGATGCTAAAGCTGAATTTTCAGCAACCATTACTCCAGTCTTCAGTGTCACATGATCAGCTGTGCTGCTAAATAAATCTTTATAACATTATACATGTCTTTACTGTCACTTTTGATCAATATAATGTGTCCTTGTTGAATAAAAATATTCATCTCTTTCAAAAAATAAATACATAAATTTTATGACTGCACACTTTTGAACAGT